GATTTAATAGACCACAAATCCTCGCGAAAGAAAATCGACTCCTACTAAGGATGATACGTGAGGTTGTTGAAACTAAAAAAACATGCTTAGATTCAATAGAAAAGGAGGCTGGGTATTACCACCTGCTTGGGACCCTGTAATTAATAAAATTAAAACTAAACCCAAGCAGATCACTAAAAGACTTCAAGACACAGTAAGTTCATTCTGCGTAGACCGGAGCATAAATAACAATCAAAAAGCTGAAGATACTCCGGGTTAACACTGACATCGGTACGTTAGTCACCTCAGTCCCCCGTGACCATGGGTGCTGGAAAGCATCCGAAACGTCGGGAATTAAAAATCAAATAAATTAAAAGTAAAAGTCGTTTTAATCAGTCAAGTTTTTTAAACACTTCAGTTGGTTTAAGCCCACATATTGCTCTGATACATTTTTTTTGTGCACTAAATGCTTCTATTTTGATCCATGTGTGGCAAGTTTTATACTCTAAGTAATAAAAATTATTACTGTATTTCTATTTTCTCACTTGTACCTTCGTAGAATGCTGTCGTTAAAGTATCTTTTCCGTGTGCGCGCTGGGCACAATAAAAAATATAAGAGTAAGAAAATCAACTATTTGTAAAACAGTTGCACGTGCTTTTTCCCCAGATTATCAGTCCATAGCGCAGTACTGACTTACCATTCATATGGTAGGACAAAACAGCGGTTTTATATTTGTTACGTTTTTAAATGTTTAAGAGCGTATACAAATTTATTTAATCACGTATAAAAATCATTTACATGTAATTTCTAGTTTACATTTTCATCGATACTTATTCCTAAAAATTTTGTATTTGTTACTGCTTTAATTATGTTATGTTAAGGTTTATAATATTTCTTAATATTACATTAATTAAATTGTATTTATACAAATTTGTAAAGATTTATTTTTAAGTTGTTTATGCCAATTCATTCAATTAAATTATGTTATTTATGTCAGTCTAATGGTCATTAATAATATTATTATTAATTTTACTAGAAGTCACAATTATTAAAATGTCATCCACGAATAATATGCATTTATGATTTGTTATATTAGCAATGTCGATTATATACAATCGAAATAAAGTAGGACCAAGCACACTTCCTTGTGGAACGCTATACCTATTTAATGTATATTAAGACGAGTCCATACGCATAGAATTGATAAAAATAAGGATCTCATACCATTACGAGATTAATATGTAGAATATAATTAGTATATAGTAATATTTTTAGATTTTTTTATGTATTGTCATGATTGGCACACATTGCTGTCCGTTACTGAGGTATGAAGATATCCACTGAAGAGTAGGTCCCCTAATCCCAATCTTTTCGAGTTTTTGTAGCAGGAGATCGTGTGGGACTAAGTCGAAAGCTTTGGATAAGTCAGAAAACAGTCCTGGATTATTATTTAAATTTAACAGTAATATTTTAGGAAAGAAAAAATGGCCAACGTTGTAGATTTGTCCTTTTGATTTTCGTATTGTTCGGTAATTATAATATTATAATTTATTGCAGAATTCGATTGTGCTTTTGTACATACACTTTTCATGCATTTTGGACATAATGTAATATAATAAACTTTTTTAAACAGGATACCTTTAATGCCTCTTAAAAAGTTCCAGACGGAAAACAAGGTTTATTAAATGAGTCAAGATTCCTATTAGTTCGTTGATACAATTTTTATACTTATGTCGTCACAGCCTGAAAAGCTAGTATTTTTAATGACATGGTCTCTCTTCTAATGTCGTCTTCCGACATGGGTTTGAGAAACATAGTGTTGATATACACGATAACTATTATTTATCAAGTTGTTTATTCTTGTGTGTTGTTTCGTTGTTAAATTAATATAGTGATTATTAAACATAGAGACCATTTCTATTGTGTTCGTGAAAACTTTGTTATTAATTATAATTTGTTCTATGTTGTTTTCATGTAAGCCACCTATTTCATTTTAATACTGTTCCACGTGGCCTTACACTTCTCAATTTATTTAAAAACTATGTTATTTTTTAATTCTACATCTCTTTAATAGCTTGTAATATGTCATATATTAAGTTTTATTAACAGCATTTTTATTTCTATAATTTTGATATCTTAAGACTCTTTCGGTTTTAGAACTTGCTTTAATCCCTTTAGCTTAATACGTTACATACAACTAAACGCTAGGTATCATTTGCCGTATACACTTTGACCAATACATTTTTTGTAAACATTCTTTAAATTTCCTAATATTATGTCCGTTATTATCTGTTTTATAAATGTAATATATCGCATGCTTTTGTATATCGCGATTTAAAGGAAAGCTTAACAATTGTGCTATCATGATCATATAGATGAATAGTAGCACTGTTGCAGTTGTATCCGGAATATTACTTAAAATATAATCGATGCAAGATGAATTCCGTGTATGTACATCAGTATGTATTTTTAAAATGTAATTATACGATAAATCGGGACATCGCATGCAACTTTACAAGACGCAATGGCCTCACATGGAATACAGTTCTCATCTCTGAGCCAGGGCACCCCAGTGCCAGCTCCTTCCACTTGACTGCATCCAGCGCAGAGCGGTTCGAATCATCGACGACCAAATTTCACGAACGCATATCACGTCAAAATTCCCGATACCATCCACATCATCTGGATGCTGGGCGGTCCACCAGTGCGTTTTAATAGGAGTTTTCTTCCTCGTACAATTTCTCTGTGGAATTATTTACCACCGGCGATTTTTTCGGACCGATAAGACTTAGGGACCTTCAAGAAAAGAGCTTACTCCTCTCTAAAAGGCCGGCAACGAACCTGCAATTCCCCTGGTGATGCGGTTATTCATGGGCGGCGGTAGTCACCATCAGTTGAGCCGCATGCTCGTTTGCCATCTTCAATTAAAAATCTTGTAGTACATTTGTGATATTGCCTCTTTTTAATGTGTTTATGTTAAAGTCATCAGCCAATACTATGTGTGCTCCAGATCGGTATTTCATAGTAAAGTAGTGTAAGAGATTATTTAATTTACATGGAAATTGGTCAGATCTGATTGGAGTGTTCTGTAGAGACAAAAAGCATTTAATACACGTTAGTTCAATGATGATTTACATAATGGAGTAATATATTATTTAAATCCTTCATGTTCGTCTTCACATGATTAATATTTTTGTCCGTCTCTGTGGTTTAGTGGTTTAACGCGGCGGTTTAAGTGGTTTAATGTAAACGCGGCTGGAGGTCTTGGAGCAGGCCAAAAATCAGTTGTTAAGTTTTTCTGTCAATAAATTCTCAGTAGCAGCCCGAAGTCAGGAAGGGTGCGGTGTGGTTGCGGTGCCGTCGCGTCGTGCCTCCGAGAGCCTGGTCTCTCTCCGGTCGTGTTGGTTGCCTTTCCATCGGACGTTGAGAGTGATAGAATAGACGGTGTACTTGTGTTTGCGCATACACTCGGGCACTATAATCCTGACCTGCGCAGATGGGTAGTGTCCGTTGAGACTGGACGCCGTGACCGAAATTCAGTCTTGATGCCATTATCATTACATTCACATCTTTAATATAATTATAGTCAACCAAATCTAAGAAATACATTTTGACAGCTGTCAGAATTATTGCACCAAGCACGCCTGAGGACTAAGATGGAATGCCTCGATTCCAGTAAAAAGGGTCTCCGGTTCTCTACACTCACCATACGAAGCAGATCAGCATTATGCTGCTATTTTACGCCGGTATTCTGTGAGAGCGTGGACCTGCCCTGGTTGAGCCGACCCATTCGTGCTACAACTATAATATAAATTGTAGCGTGGCTCTACTACGTACAAAAAGTTATTATAAAAGAAACAGTCGAAAAAGTTAATGCCAAGTCACAAAATAAGAAGACAAATCACAAAATTACGCACAGTAAGCTCTCGAAACAGAAACAGAACCTTTTTTATTCAATATAGATTATGAATAATACTATATTGAAAGTCATTTATTTCATTTACCACTGTTTCGAAAAAAAAACCCTCTGTCCTGGGAAGAACCAGCAAGAAACACAACGGGACTAGTTTTTTTTATTAAGAGCTTACAATCATGCGTGTTACAATTAACAACACAAAACAAATTAGAAATAGCTTGGTAGCGATCACCCTTCCCAGGGGTTATTATCATCCATAAATTCCTTAATATTAAAATAACCATTTTTATACAAACTTAGTTTAATAAAGTTTTTGAACTTAGTGTACTGACGTCAAATTTTGTATATTATCTGGCATTTTGTTGTAAATGCGTATACATCGCCTCAAGAATGAATTACTGATTCTGTGGAATCGAATAACTGGTACCGAGATGGCGGGATGTTGAAATTATGTAGTGGTTATTTTAGTAGTAGCGTTGTATAATATGAGTTTTTTGCCCACACAAATTTACTTTGACAAAGTGAAAAAATTAAACGTTTTTATTCATGATTAATGTAATTTAAGGAATTTTGAAAATAATAATTAAATTAAACAAATAATACATTAAAGAAATTTATGATTCGATTATTAGAATGTTTTTACCGATTATTTGAATATTTTGTCGATTATTCGCTTAACAATGAATTTTAATCATCCAAACACTACGGTAATATACATAGCGACATATCATTGAAACGACGTCAAGTAAAAAAAGTTAATACTGGTTATTTTTTAATATTCTGCTTTGTTTGAAAAATTCAAATTTAAATTAGTGATAAAAAACTATTCACGTTGTAATGAAATATATATATAACTTCATAATTCTTCGGATTTACGTAAAAGGTTATTTCAAATCGTGTGAGTACGCTTGTGAAAAGTTATTGCGGAGTGATTAATGTGAAACGCCAAAAGGTATTTCTTAGATTTGGTTGACTATAATGTCGGAATTTCCGCAAAGTAAGGTCTATTAACAAACTGAAATATTATTGAAAAAAAAAAACTACATGAAAATACTTATTTTTTATTGACTAATTTAAGCTGTACAATACAACATGAGAGTAGCGTCACGTGCGATCTGTGCCTGCGGGCGGTGGTGTTGCGGGGGGTGCGGGGGTCGCGGTGAAGTCGAGCACCAGTTTGCCGCGCGCACTGTGCGTGGCCGCATGTTCGTATGCCTCCGCGCCCGCCCACCACGGGAACACGCGCTCCACCTCCACCTTGAACTAAAACCCCACATCATAGCTTCATAATTTATCTTGATTTAACTGAAGAAAAACTAAAGAAATTTCAGCGATTGCATAATGAAAATAAACGGTTCATATTTGGAGTTTGTAAATATGTCTCAGAATACCGCGCTAAGCTTAAGTGGGTCTCATCTTTCGTCTTAATACTCATATCCTTTATGTTCTTCACTGCGTCTTATCATAAATTTCAATGTATACTAGGGTGGTGTGAAAAGTTTCCGACCTCAACGTGAAGATGGCAGCACTCGTCGATAATAGCTAGTGAATGTAGTTGTGCTTCTTTTGACAGTTACGCACCAAAATTTCAGCCATTTTGAACGCGTATTTGTTATATAACAGTCGTTTGAGTGAGTCGATGTGAGTGTTTTTGTGAAAAAGGAAAAAATTGAGTATCGAGCTGTCATTAAATTTTTGTTTTTGAAAAGTAATACGCCTACGAAAATCAAAGATGAGTTTGACTCTGTGTATAGGGACTCTGCACCATCATTTACCGCAGTGAAATTTTGGGCAGTTGAATTTAAACGTAAGAGCTTGGGAGACGATGAACGTCCGGGACGTCTAAAAACTGCAACTACTGACGTAAACATCACTACGATCACCAAATGGTGCCAGATGACGCCGAATTAAAGTGAGAGAGATAGCAGAGGCTATGAATAAGTCCTAAGAACGTATTTGTCACATATAAGATCTAGATTTGAGCATGAGAAAGCTTTTTGCTCGTATGATTCCGCATTTGCTCACATTAGACCAAAACATGTTCTTATGAACATTTCCAACGCTCTGTTGGAGTTGTTAAGGCGCAATAAATAAATGCGAGTTTTGGCGCCGATTAATCACTGGAGATGAAACTTGCATACACCTTTATACGCCTGAAACAAAAATACAGTAAAAACAGTGGACTGCAAAGAGGAACCGACTCCAAAAAAAGCGAAAACTGTTTTTTTCGGTTGGGAATGGATGACGACTGTTTTCTGAGATAGTCATGGAGTTATCTTGATCAATTATTTTCAAAAAGGAAAAATCATTACAGTAGCATACTACGAATCATTACTTTGACAAACTGAAGGCAGAAATTACGGATAAACGGCCACATTTGCAGAAAAAGAAAATCCTCTTTCACCAAGACAACGCGCCGTCTCACACCTCAGCGGTTGCTATGATGAAAATCCACGAAATACAATTTGAACTGCTTGACCATCCGCCTTCCTCACCAAATCTAGCCCCAAGCAACTTTTTGTTTCCCCATCTACGGGTGAATGTGAAACAAACCCTAAAAATTGCGCTCGGAGGAATGAGATTTTCGTTAAATGAGGAGTACTATTTGGACAGGTTAGGGAGATGGGAGAATCGTTGGCTGAAGTGTGTAGAGTTACAAGGAGACTTTGTAGAAAAATAAAAAAAAAATAAAAAAAAAATATCTTGTATCTTTGTTAGCTCGGAAACTTTTTGGAGCACCCACGTACACGTACTACTAGACCGGCAATTTAGAACACGAATTGTGCCACAGGTGGAGATCTAGCTATATATAGTAGCTGGCACGGCAAATATGCCACGCAGTTGTGTTATCATTTTAGAACGTTTCTGTTTTTAATCAAATATCAAATAAAGTTACATGCTTAACTGAAGTAATCTTCAAGTCAAGTGAATAATGTGCACGCATTAATAAGGACAGTTTTTAAATCACATAAAAAAATCAGCGTTAGATGGTCAAAAACAAGGTTCGCAGTTTGCGTAACAAGGAAGGTCTTCTCGCTGACTCACAACCGATTAAAAGACTTACGGATAATTGGCTGTAAATTAGTGCGCAAAAACACAGTTGCTCGACCACATACGTAAGAAAACCGACCAGAGGGGAAGCTACATACGACGACGTTTTGATAAGAGTGACGTTTGGAATTTCCCGCGCAGTAACTTTCATGACAATACAGTTCCCGTCAACTATCATCTATTAATAGACTACTATCAAAATTTGGGCCGTGTTCCAATAAACATTGCGAGCACTGCTCAGTGCTTTCACTGGTGAAAAATTTGTTCCGTAATGGACTGCCAGTATACTGCCGCAGTACCCTAGGTAAATATCATCATCATTCACATCACAGCCCTTCTCTCCTTCTCACCTTCCATTTGACGACTATATCGTCGGCAAATCGAAGGTGAGTGATGTACTCGCCATTGATGTTAATACCGTATCCTTTCCAGTCCAGTAGCTTGAAAACGTCTTCCAATGAAGCGGTGAAGAGTTTCGGGGAAATAACGTCACCCTGTCTTACACCTCTCTGCAGTTGGATAGGTTTCGTACTCTGATTCTGTATTCGGATAGCCATCGTAGCCCTACTGTACAAACACTTTAGCACTTCGATATATCGACAGTCAACTTGGCACCGCTGAAGGGACTGTAGCAACGCCCAAATTTCAACGGAATTAAAGGCTTTCTCATAATCCACATACGCCAGACAAAGTGGCAGATTGTACTCTTCGGTCTTCTGTACAATCAGCCGCAGGGTATGTATGTGGTCTATGCTACTGAAGCATCTTCGGGAACCGGCTTGTTCGGGAGGCTGAAAGTCGTCGAGGTTGCGTGCGAGACGATTCGTAATGACTCTCGAAATCAGCACGAAGACGCGGTTCACAAGGGAAATCGGTCTGTAGTTCTTCAAGAGAGCGTTGTCGCCTTTCTTGAAGAACAAGACCACCGCACTTCTGCTCCACGCCTCAGGAGTAGTGCCACCATAGAAGAGAGAGCTTCTGAAGGACTTTAAGTACCGGTGTTTCACCCGCTTTCAGAAGCTCCGCTGTAATTCCATCATCGTCAAGGGACTTGCCGTTTTTAAGGTGCTGGAGGACCATTCTAATCTTGTTCAGACAGACGTCGGGGATATCATCGGAATAGGAAAATATATGAAGTCATAAATTGCCACCATGTTTGTATAGTACCGGCGCTTGCGAAGTAAGGTGCTCACAGTACTTTTATCACATGATCAAAAAACATAACAGCACCTAGAGATTTTACAGCTTCCACGAATGATTGTCATTATTATCAACTAATATTGTTATTCAAATAAACTCGGACATTAAGTTTTATAAGCAACAACATTCAAAGAATTTTTTTTCTTGTTGAACAGAAAACGTGTACATAATGTTTTCTTTTGAAAACAGTGTCGAAAAATGAGGACAATAGTCATAGAGTTGGAATATAATATAGACGGACATAGTGTGCAAGAGAGAAGAAAATTTTTTATAATGATTTCTTAAATTTACGCGAACACTACACATTGAATAAAACTAAATTTACGGATTTTATCGCGTTTATTTCACTACTTTTACTTATTTTTAACTCCCGACGTTTCAGGTGCTTTACAGCACCCACGGTCACGGGGGGGACTGAGATGTTTGACGTCCCAATATCATTGTTAGCCCAGCTACCTTCAGTTTTTGTATATTAATTTTTGGTCCGATTTACGCAAAACGAGCTTACAGTATCTTGAAATCTTGCAGTGGTATACTTGGGTTTGGGTTTAATTTTGTTAATTATAGGATCCCAAGCAGATGCCAACACCCAACCATCTTCTCTATTGAAATTAGGATGTTCTTTAATTTCAATATTCTCGCGTATCATCCTTGGTGGGAATCGGTGTTCTTTTGCGAGGATTTGTGGTTTATCAAATCTGATGTAATGGTGGGGACGATTTTGAACATGTTCACAGACTGCAGACTTCCCGGAGCGTCGGTGCTTCACGTCAGCTATATGTTCTTTCACGCGGGTTTTTATGGATTTTTTTGTTTGACCTATGTAAGAGAGACCACATTCACAATCTAACTTGTACACTCCTGCGTCTGGTAGAGAGATATTACACTTGACGGGTGGTAAAAATTGACTAATCTTCTTCGGCGGCTTGTAGTATGTTTTAATGGAAGCTCGCTTCAAGATGTAGCCAACCTTGTCTGTGACTCCTCTGACATATGGTAGTACAGCAGGCACACGCTCGACTGTGGCCGGCTTCACTCGGTCACTGTGACGTAGGCGCGGGACCCGAAGCTTGTTGTCTTGCAACACTTGCTTGACGTGCTGACGGCACGGACTTACGGTTGAAGCTCGGCGGCTAGATGATTTCTGTCACAGATCCCTCGTGCTCTCTGAAACAAAGATTTACCCACGGTAGCTAACTGTGAAGGATGATGGTGAGATTCACCATTTAAATATCGGTTGGTATGGGTCTTTTTCCTATATATAGTGTGACCAATTGTGTTATTAGGATTTCGAATGACTAAAACATCTAGGAAAGCTAAAGAATTATTTGCCTCTAACTCCATTGTGAATTGTATTTTATAGTTTATAGAGTTATGGTGGTTTAAAAATGCAGTTACTTTGTCAGATGGTAAAATTGTGAAAGTGTCGTGTACGTACCGCTTGTAGAATCTTGGATTTACAGGAGCAGTAGGAAGCGCTTTCTCCTCGAAGTCCTCCATGAATATGTCGGCGACTATGGGAGATACAGGTGAGCCCATCGCCACACCATCTACTTGCTTGTAGAACTCTTCCTTCCACAATAGATAGCCAGATGTGAGGCAGTGTTTGAGTAATACTGCATATTCAGCAGGCATGTTATTATATTCTAGCTTTCTAGTTACAATCGATATGCAGTCTCCCTGTGTCCCAGTATTTTTTGTAACTCGTTTAGTACATAAACATCACATGCATCAGGTGACAACCCTATCAGAATAGGTACACATTTTCGATTTTGTTAGGAAGCTTCCCCTCTGTTCTTACTTCTTACTCCTGTACTCTGTAGCTCGACTGCCTCGTTGAACTGTTGGTGGTGACCGCTGATCGTATGGTCCCAGGTTCGAATCCCGGTTCGACCAAACGGTTATTGAAATTCTCAGTAGCAGCTAGAAGTTAGGAAGTTGGCGATGTTCCGTGACTCGAAAAGCAAGTAAAGCCGTTAGTCCTGTACTTGATCTTGCTGCAGTTGAGTCGG